CTCAAGCCTGTGAGGCACCCAGCTGGCTGGGTGGGCCTTTTCCCCAACTCAGGCTGCCCTGCCCACTGGCCTTCTGTCCTGTGTGTTTCTAACAGTCAGAGACCAAGAGATGAGGGGGGCAGGCACAGCTCAAGAGACAGAAGGGGGTCCCCGAGGCGACTGCCCAGGGCTTTTCCGTGGGAGTCCTGACGCAACCCGGGAGCATCGGGGCCCCGAGGGGTAGATGGTCCCACTCTTGTTGCACTGGGACACCAGCTCAGAAAGGTGCAGGAACCTGCTTATGGTCACACAGCTGGCAAGAAACAGGCCAGGATTCCAGCCTACGTGTCTGCTTCTGAGGACTGGGTCCTCCCTTGGGTCAGGCCCTGGTGGGCAGAGGGGGCTCCTTAGTCTGACCCTCCTGTTCTCGGGCTCACAGGGCACATCTGGGTCCTGGGTCTTCCCACTGTGGGTCACCTGCATTCAAGAAACACATCCCTGAAAAGCTGGTGGGGCTCAGGTCGGGGGAGGGGGGGTTGCTCCCAGACCTCTTCCCAGCTCCCGGCTCCATCCCACACCTGCCCAAGCCTGTGCCCACTTCTCAGCATGAGGCTGTGATGTTTCTTTTATTCTACTTCCATTGTTGTTTTTCCCCAACTTTCTCAGTAAGATCCCTTTGGAACAGTCCCAGCCTTGTCTCCAAGGAGCCTTGGATACAGGGCTGGCCTGGCCCAGGTCAGGAGAAGACAGAGCAGAGGGGGCCATTGAGAAGGGTTGGCACAGCTGGGGACCCAAGAAGAGAGCAATCCAGCTGCCCCATGTTGGACTGCCCAACCGTAGGAGAGGCGTTTCTGCCTCTGTGCCTCAGTTTACTCCTCCAAAGAATGGGGTTGTTGTTGGACTCAAATGGGTTCAGCTCAGCAGAGCACCTGGCTCCCAGGTCAGGAAGGGCAAGGAGAAGGACAACACCGCCAGATGCTTGCCTATCCTAGAGTTTCCTGGGAAGCCAGGCTCTCCCACCCTGAATGTAGAGGCCAAAAGCAGCAAATTCCACCTACATTACTGCTGGGTCCAGGGCAGAGACCAGCCTAAGAACAGGACACCAAGGCTCCAGCTTCTGCCCCTAACCGGCTGTGGGCCTGAGCAGGGGACAGCACCATTCTTTGAGTTTCTGTGACTGATGTTGCAAAATTTACGTGGTCCAGCTCCTGCGTGCTGGGGTCGGGGCCTTGGGAGACAAGGGCGGGGCTGCCAGCAGACGGGGCACGTCTGTGGCACCGCCCCCTTCAGTTACTGCGCAAGCTCGCATTCCCACAGCTGTGTGTGTGTGTGTGTGTGTGTGTGTGTGTGTGTGTGTGTGTGTGTGTGTGTG